GTGAATGACAATGCACCTGAGATTGAAGTTACCTCATTTTCCAGCTCGATCCCTGAAGACTCCAGACCTGGAACCACAGTTGCTCTGATCAGTGTAAATGATTTGGACTCTGGACTTAATGGAAAAGTTATTTGCTCCATAGAAGAGGATGTTCCTTTTGCTTTATCTCCATCCGTAAAAGACAAAATGTTTTCATTAGTAACCAAATCTCCTCTGGACAGAGAGAAACAGTCACATTATGACTTGACAATAACTGCAAAAGACGCTGGTCAACCTCCATTATCAAGTGAAAAGACAATAAGCGTTGTGGTGTCAGATGTGAATGACAACACTCCAGAGTTTTTACTGAGCCCCTATACTTTCTATGTCACTGAGAATAATGAGCCAGGAGCCTCTGTGTTTTTGGTTAAAGCTTCTGATCGAGATGAGAATGAGAATGCGCACATTTCCTATCATATTGTCAGGGATGTAAGGGAAGGTAATAAAATGGCTTCATTTCTAAACATTAACTCTGAGAATGGAGACATTGTGGCGCTAACGAGTTTTGACTTTGAAACAGTGAAAACGTTCCAGTTCCACGTTGTGGCCACAGATTCGGGAACTCCGTCACTGAGCAGCAACGTCACAGTCAACGTGTTCATCCTGGATCAGAACGACAACCCTCCAGTCATCCTGTATCCACTCAGCTCCAACGGGTCTGCTGAAGGTGTGGAGGAGATCCCCCGCAATGTGAACGCAGGACACTTGGTGACTAAAGTCAGAGCCTATGACCCTGATATAGGATATAACGGCTGGTTGCTCTTCTCACTGCAGGAACATACTGACCACAGTCTCTTTGGTTTGGACCGCTACACAGGACAGATCAGGACACTTCGCTCATTCACTGAGACAGACGAGGCTGAGCACAAACTGGTCATACTGGTAAAAGACAATGGCAACGTGTCCCTCTCAGCAACAGCTACTGTGGTTGTCAAGCTTGTGGAGCCCAAAGAGGCTTTTGCAGCTTCTGATGTTAAAAGTGCAGCAAAAAAAGATGATGAGGACACTAATGTGACTTTTTACCTGATGATAACTTTGGGCTCAGTGTCTGTACTTTTCCTCATCAGTATCATCGTGCTGATCGCGATGCAGTGCTCCAAATCCACAGACTATACTTCTAAATATCTACAAGAGGCTAATTATGACGGGACACTGTGTCACAGCATCCAGTACAGATCTGGAGACAAACGGTACATGTTAGTTGGACCCAGGATGAGTACAGGATCTACTATAGTCCCGGGCAGCCACGCGAACACACTAGTGCTCCCTGACAGGAGGAGGATGTCTGAGGAGGTAGGACAAATTTAAGTGAAAACTGTAATGTTTGTTTACTAAAGATTTCAGATATATTTCTCTGAATAACATCGTATTGTGTCAATTGGCTTCCCTGGGTTTCTCTGCTTTTATGGCTTAATTTCAGATTGATAAATACATAGTTAATTAGCTTACATTGTAATAGTTAAACAACACTTTATTATGTTTTTATTTGTTTATTTGTTTGTTCTGTTATGATTTCCCATTTTGTCTGATTGGAAGTTGGGAAAGATCAAATTGAAATTGCCTTATTTCATTTTGGTCAGTGTGCTTCCTCAATACTTCACTTAGCCATTAACAACACATTACAAAATAAGCTTTCCCATTCGGTAGGATTACAAGCACAGTATGGCATCGGGAAAAACCAGCCCATGTTCTTTCACTCGTTAATACTGAACCTAAGAAGTTTTCATACTGCCTCAATACAAACGTTTCCTTGAACTGCAACACGTTGTGGCCGCTGTCCGTGGTACTGAAAGCGTTTGGCTTTAGTTTCTGTCAGTAATTTCGTTATCGTAGTGTCATAAGTCATAGAACAATAAGCACAGGAAATAATCATGTTGCCTATGTTTTACACAATTATCAAAACGTATTTTATCTTCCCGATTTCCTGGTCTCTTTCCATATACTACACTAACTTTGCACAGAGATTTGCAATGGCAAAAAAACAAACACTTCTACCACTTGAACGTCTGTGCAGGACATCTTTTATTTTCCTGCAGAGAGAGAATGGGGCGCATGGTGTCAGTGCAATGTAAAAAGTCAGCGTTTCCTTATCTAGTCCTCACTGCTCTTGCGGTCCGCCTCCTAACAACATTCTCGCTTCGTCAATGGCAGGATCGGTTATATGCTTGTTCTCGTAAACGGGAGGTTTGCTCTAATTTCTGACTACATGGGAAGTGAATGATTATTTACAAATAGAAAATCGTTGGATAGTGTCGATACAAGGCATTTAATTGGTCCTGTGATGGATTATTGATACATATTGGATTAACTATGGAACAAAGAAGACGCGAGCCTCGAAGGGCGAGAGGATGTTTGCTTTGCTGTGTGGCTGTTCTGCTGCTGTGGAGTGTGGCCTCGGCGCAGTTAAGATATTCAATCTATGAGGAAGTTAACGAAGGAACTGTGGTTGGAAATATAGCAAAAGACCTGGGATTAGATAAAAACACACTGAAAGACAGGAAGTATCGCGTTGTTTCTAGTAATACTGAACCTCTTTTCTATGTAAATCAAAACGATGGTATCCTGTATGTGAGCAGAAAGATTGACAGAGAAGAGGTGTGCGCACAGAGCAGTACGTGTTTAATAAATCTGAAAACAGTGCTGGAAAACCCACTGGAAGTTCACTACGTGGAAGTGGAAGTGATGGATTTAAACGATCATTCTCCCAATTTCCCAGACAAAGAGACGGACCTGGAGATTTCAGAGTCCGTGTTGCCTGGAGCACGATTTCAACTAAAACCTTCACGGGATGCAGACAGTGGTCAGTTCTCAGTGCAGGATTATAAACTCAGCACCAACGATCACTTCCGTTTGGAGGTTAAAGATAAAGGAGAAGATGGTAAAGTACCAATTTTAGTTCTGCAAAAATCTTTGGATAGGGAGACAGCAGGAAGTCACACCTTAGTGTTGACGGCGCTGGATGGGGGCAAACCCCCGAAATCTGGTAAAATGAATATTCTAGTTATTGTGTTGGATGTTAATGATAACACCCCCATTTTCTCTAAGGATATTTACTCAGTCATGCTCAATGAAAATGCTCCTGTAGGCACCACTGTCGTACAAGTGAATGCAACTGATTTAGATGACGGTCAGAATGGATACTCGTTTACCAAAAGTATGAATCAAAATATAAAAAAACTTTTTGACATAGATCCATCAACAGGTGAAATTGTTGTTAATGGTATATTAGACTATGAGGAGAAGGACAAATATGAAATCGAAGTTCAAGCATCAGATAAAGGCATAGCTCCTCTTACGACAGAAAAAAGTGTTACTATCAAGATAGTTGACGTGAATGACAATGCACCTGAGATTGAAGTTACCTCATTTTCCAGCTCGATCCCTGAAGACTCCAGACCTGGAACCACAGTTGCTCTGATCAGTGTAAATGATTTGGACACTGGTCTTAATGGAAAAGTTATTTGCTCCATAGAAGAGGATGTTCCTTTTGCTTTATCTCCATCCGTAAAAGACAAAATGTTTTCATTAGTAACCAAATCTCCTCTGGACAGAGAGAAACAGTCACATTATGACTTGACAATAACTGCAAAAGACGCTGGTCAACCTCCATTATCAAGTGAAAAGACAATAAGCGTTGTGGTGTCAGATGTGAATGACAACACTCCAGAGTTTTTACTGAGTCCCTATACTTTCTATGTCACTGAGAATAATGAGCCAGGAGCCTCTGTGTTTTTGGTTAAAGCTTCTGATCGAGATGAGAATGAGAATGCGCACATTTCCTATCATATTGTCAGGGATGTAAGGGAAGGTAATAAAATGGCTTCATTTCTAAACATTAACTCTGAGAATGGAGACATTGTGGCGCTAAAGAGTTTTGACTTTGAAACAGTGAAAACGTTCCAGTTCCACGTTGTGGCCACAGATTCTGGAACTCCGGATATAACGGCTGGTTGCTCTTCTCACTGCAGGAACATACTGACCACAGTCTCTTTGGTTTGGACCGCTACACAGGACAGATCAGGACACTTCGCTCATTCACTGAGACAGACGAGGCTGAGCACAAACTGGTCATACTGGTAAAAGACAATGGCAACGTGTCCCTCTCAGCAACAGCTACTGTGGTTGTCAAGCTTGTGGAGCCCAAAGAGGCTTTTGCAGCTTCTGATGTTAAAAGTGCAGCAAAAAAAGATGATGAGGACACTAATGTGACTTTTTACCTGATGATAACTTTGGGCTCAGTGTCTGTACTTTTCCTCATCAGTATCATCGTGCTGATCGCGATGCAGTGCTCCAAATCCACAGACTATACTTCTAAATATCTACAAGAGGCTAATTATGACGGGACACTGTGTCACAGCATCCAGTACAGATCTGGAGACAAACGGTACATGTTAGTTGGACCCAGGATGAGTACAGGATCTACTATAGTCCCGGGCAGCCACGCGAACACACTAGTGCTCCCTGACAGGAGGAGGATATCTGAAGAGGTAGGACAAATTTAATAGACCTTTTACCCAAAGATAATCAGCAAGTACTTGTCCATAAAGACGATGCTTTGGAGAAACATACATGGTATCAGTAGCCTATATGATGCAACGTTGAATGTTCAACCAGCAACATTTCACTCTTAACGGTATTTGCGTGAACTTCTCATGACAGTGACTGCATAGGCTTTTATCATTCCATGGTTTAATTTTGTGTAGTAAGCTCTGATAGTGAATCTGTTTGCTCTTCCGTGGTTTTGCATTGCTGGTGTAATCCTTTTGTCGGGTTAACAACATAACTTCTTTTATATTAACAGCGGCTAACCTGGGTTTTGGTAAAAATTAACAGTGAATGGTTATGTGATTTTTTTGTCTGACTAGTTTACTAAATCCTCTACACATTCTAATTCTTTTAAGTTTGACTTAGCACAGTGTTTACTTTAATATATACTAATAATAATATACATTATAATATACTAACCTATAATAATGATGCCTTCCTATTTTCCTTTTTACACACATAGGGCGTTTAGAAATGCGGATGTTATAAATGTGTATTCAGTTATCTTATTTTCTGCGTTTAGGTGACAAGAGAAATACGTATTCAAGGGCTGGGTGGTTGTGAATATAAGTTAGTTGCACCAGTGGAATCATTATGTCCATACCATGCTCAACCATAGTCAACACATAGCACACGCTCTCCCGAAATGACTACAATTTGACAGCATGGAAGAAAGAAATTACGCAAGACTAATTGGTGAAGTACTGGAAAATAAGTTTGAAAGAATAAGTATAATAATTTTACTAAATGTAGCAGGCCCCAACTGCAGTCAATAGTTATCTGTGTCCATGGTGGAAAGGGTTTGTTCCCATTTTTCCAATATGTTTTCTTAAACTTTAACAAGTGTCAAACCGCAAAATACACAATTTCAGCGATTTAATTCATAAAGTAAGATCACAATAAGTAGTACTTCCAAATGTTATATCCTATACCATCCTACAAACATATTCAGTGTCTCGCTTTTAACTTTACTTGAACATATTTTTCAGTACACTCCGCCACCTCTTCTCCTTTCTATTACTCAACTACCTTTAGTCAAAGACTGACAGAAACCGATAAACATTTAACCTTTATTATGTGCTACAAACTCTCCCAGTGTTGTGCAGTGAGATACTTCTTCGCATGGTGTCAGTATAATGACAAGCTTTACACGAACCTGTCGTCATTGCATTTTGGTTCCACCTCTCGACAACAGTCTCACTTCGGCTTTAGCACAGTGTCTTCGGTTCTTATTGTTGCCTTTGTTTGCCACCGTGTCAGCTTATACGGGAAAAGAGGGATTATAAAAAAACAAACGTGCTGGCTTCTAATTTTAAGACGTAGCTACTGTCCTTGTGATGGATTACTGATGATTTCTGATTTAACCATGGAACAAAGAAGATGCAAGCCTCGAAGGGCGAGAGGATATGTGGTCGGCTGTGTGGTCGTTGTGCTGCTGTGGAGTGTGGCCTCGGCGCAGTTAAGATACTCAATTTCTGAGGAAGTTAACGAAGGAACTGTGGTTGGAAATATAGCAAAAGATCTGGGATTGGATAAAGGCACACTGAAAGACAGGAAGTATCGCGTTGTTTCTAGTAATGCGGATCCTCTTTTCCACGTAAATCAGAATGATGGCATCCTGCGTGTGAGCAGAAAGATTGACAGAGAAGAGGTGTGCGCACAGAGCAGTACGTGTTTAATAAATCTGAAAACAGTGCTGGAAAACCCACTAGAAGTTCACTACGTGGAAGTGGAGGTACTGGACATAAATGACCATTCTCCAATTTTCCCAGAGGAAGAGAAACGGTTAGAAATTTCAGAGTCCGTGTTGCCTGGAGCACGATTTCAGCTAAAACCTTCACGGGATGCAGACAGTGGTCAGTTCTCAGTGCAGCAATATAAACTTAGCCACAACGATCACTTCCGTTTGGAAGTTAAAGATAAAGGAGACGATGGTAAAATACCTATATTAGTTGTACAAAAATCTTTAGACAGGGAGACTGAGGGCAGCCACTCATTAGTACTAACGGCACTGGATGGAGGGAAACCCTCGAGGTCTGGCCAAATGAATATTAGAGTGAATGTCTTGGATATTAACGATAACGCGCCTGTTTTCTCCAAAGATGTTTATTCAGTGATGCTTAATGAAAACGCTCCAATAGGTACCACGGTCATACAAGTGAATGCGACTGATCTGGATGATGGTCAGAACGGAGACATTGTTTACTCATTTAGCAACAGCATGAATCAAAATATTTTAAAACTTTTTGACATAGATCCATCAACAGGTGAGATAGTTGTTAATGGTTTATTAGACTATGAGGAGAAGGACAAATATGAAATTGAAATTGAGGCATCAGATAAAGGCATAGCTCCTCTTACAACAGAAAAAAGTGTTACTATCAAGATAGTTGACGTGAATGACAATGCACCTGAGATTGAAGTTACCTCATTTTCCAGCTCGATCCCTGAAGACTCCAGACCTGGAACCACAGTTGCTCTGATCAGTGTAAATGATTTGGACTCTGGACTTAATGGAAAAGTTATTTGCTCCATAGAAGAGGATGTTCCTTTTGTTTTATCACCTTCCATACAAGACAAAATGTTTTCATTAGTAACCAAATCTCCTCTGGACAGAGAGAAACAGTCACATTATGACTTGACAATAACTGCAAAAGACGCTGGTCAACCTCCATTATCAAGTGAAAAGACAATAAGCGTTGTGGTGTCAGATGTGAATGACAACACTCCAGAGTTTTTACTGAGTCCCTATACTTTCTATGTCACTGAGAATAATGAGCCAGGAGCCTCTGTGTTTTTGGTTAAAGCTTCTGATCGAGATGAGAATGAAAATGCGCGCATTTCCTATCATATTGTCAGGGATGTAAGGGAAGGTAATAAAATGGCTTCATTTCTAAACATTAACTCTGAGAATGGAGACATTGTGGCGCTAAAGAGTTTTGACTTTGAAACAGTGAAAACGTTCCAGTTCCACGTTGTGGCCACAGATTCTGGAACTCCGTCACTGAGCAGCAACGTCACAGTCAACGTGTTCATCCTGGATCAGAACGACAACCCTCCAGTCATCCTGTATCCACTCAGCTCCAACGGCTCTGCTCAAGGTGTGGAGGAGATCCCCCGCAATGTGAACGCAGGACACTTGGTGACTAAAGTCAGAGCCTATGACCCTGATATAGGATATAACGGCTGGTTGCTCTTCTCACTGCAGGAACATACTGACCACAGTCTCTTTGGTTTGGACCGCTACACAGGACAGATCAGGACACTTCGCTCATTCACTGAGACAGACGAGGCTGAGCACAAACTGGTCATACTGGTAAAAGACAATGGCAACGTGTCCCTCTCAGCAACAGCTACTGTGGTTGTCAAGCTTGTGGAGCCCAAAGAGGCTTTTGCAGCTTCTGATGTTAAAAGTGCAGCAAAAAAAGATGATGAGGACACTAATGTGACTTTTTACCTGATGATAACTTTGGGCTCAGTGTCTGTACTTTTCCTCATCAGTATCATCGTGCTGATCGCGATGCAGTGCTCCAAATCCACAGACTATACTTCTAAATATCTACAAGAGGCTAATTATGACGGGACACTGTGTCACAGCATCCAGTACAGATCTGGAGACAAACGGTACATGTTAGTGGGACCCAGGATGAGTACAGGATCTACTATAGTCCCAGGCAGCCACGCGAACACTCTAGTGCTCCCTGACAGGAGGAGGATATCTGAGGAGGTAAGGAATAATATACATGTATTTGGATTTTACAAAAAGAAAAATGGTTAACAACTGGGCACAGCAAACATGCTTTGAGGAAAATTATCTTTATAATCAATATATCAGGTAGAATTTTCCTGTCCAATTATATTAGAGTAGAAAGTAAAGCATGGTTAAGTTGTTCTGGCAAAAACAGTGCTACAGTGTTCATGGTTAAACCAAGACAAAGCGTTTAATAAACACCGAATGGATTGTCTTAAAGATACCAGCATCATCAACACACTTGAAAAGGAATACTATCAGGAAACGTGGCTGGACTGAAGTAACGTTAGCAGAGATCGCTGTCTGTGGTTCTTAACATGTTTGCTGTCAGTTTCTGAAAGCGTTCAAAAGTTTTAGCGTACAGATCACAGTCAGAATTCGCTTTACAGGCCAGCTGTGTTGAACTCACAAGCAATTTGACTCCAAATTATAGTGATAGCACCGTTGACTAACTGTTCTGGTGTCTGGATGCTTTGGTGCACAGGGTTGTGTAGCGCCGTCCAGAGGGGAGAAGTTCTAAGTAACTACATACCACACTACCCTAATGTCGGTGGGCTACTTAATCATTTGAAGTCAAGATATTATCACGTGTTAGGGCGAATTCCTTCAACATTTAGAAAAGGTTGGTTTTAAGTTTTACTGCAGATGGGTTTTGTGTTAAGAGTGAGAAGTCTTCTTATTTATCCCGCACATTTTGGGCAATGCCTCGAGAAAAATAATTACCAAAATACCAACACGCACCACTTATGATTCACCTAATTCGCTAAAAGGGTTTGATATTCTGCAGTGAGAGTGTAGACCGCATGGGGTCCGTGTAATGGTAAAAGTCAGCATTACATGTGTTTGTCGTCATGCATTTGGTTCCACCTCCTCATAGGAGGTGTTCTATTTTAAACCAGTCGTCTTGGAGCTTGCTGCTGATTTTGGTAATCCTCTGTCTACGTTTATTTCCATCGTTACAGGGAGCGGAAGAATATTTTCACGCATTGAAGTGTTATATTCGATCACTGCAATGCAGTTGGTTTCTTGTGAGTGATTACTGACGATATCGCGTTTAACCATGGAACAAAGAAAATACGAGGAACGAATGGGGAGACGATGTTTAGTAGGCTGTGTGGTCGCTGTGCTGCTGTGGAGTGTGGCCTCGGCGCAATTGAGATATTCAATCTCTGAGGAGATTAACGAAGGAACTGTGGTGGGAAATGTTGCAAAAGACCTGGGATTAGATAAAAACGCACTGAAACACAGGAAGTATCGCGTTGTTTCTAGTAATGCGGATCCTCTTTTCTATGTAAATCAGAATGATGGTATCCTGTATGTGAGCAGAAAGATTGACAGAGAAGAGGTGTGCGCACAGAGCAGTACATGTTTAATAAATCTGAAAACCGTGCTGGAAAATCCACTGGAAGTTCACTACGTGGAAGTGGAGGTACTGGACATAAATGACCATTCTCCCAGTTTCCCAGAGGAAGAGAAAACGTTAGAAATTTCAGAGTCCGTTTTGCCTGGAGCACGATTTCAACTAAAACCTTCACGGGATGCAGACAGTGGTCAGTTCTCAGTGCAGGATTATAAACTCAGCACCAACGATCACTTCCGTTTGGAGGTTAAAGATAAAGGAGAAGATGGTAAAGTACCAATTTTAGTTCTGCAAAAATCTTTGGATAGGGAGACAGCAGGAAGTCACACCTTAGTGTTGACGGCGCTGGATGGGGGCAAACCCCCGAAATCTGGTAAAATGAATATTCTAGTTATTGTGTTGGATGTTAATGATAACACCCCCATTTTCTCTAAGGATATTTACTCAGTCATGCTCAATGAAAATGCTCCTGTAGGCACCACTGTCGTACAAGTGAATGCAACTGATTTAGATGACGGTCAGAATGGAGAGATCTTTTTCTCATTTGGTAACAGTGTGAGCTCTAACCTGTTCACGCTATTTAACATCAACTCATCAACAGGTGAGATAACTGTGAAAAATACCATAGACTATGAACAAAAGGACAGATATGAAATTGAAATCCAAGCGTCCGATAGAGGTTTCGCTCCATTAACTACAGAGAAAAGCGTTATAATCCAGATAGTTGATGTGAATGACAATGCACCTGAGATTGAAGTTACCTCATTTTCCAGCTCGATCCCTGAAGACTCCAGACCTGGAACCACAGTTGCTCTGATCAGTGTAAATGATTTGGACTCTGGACTTAATGGAAAAGTTATTTGCTCCATAGAAGAGGATGTTCCTTTTGCTTTATCTCCATCCGTAAAAGACAAAATGTTTTCATTAGTAACCAAATCTCCTCTGGACAGAGAGAAACAGTCACATTATGACTTGACAATAACTGCAAAAGACGCTGGTCAACCTCCATTATCAAGTGAAAAGACAATAAGCGTTGTGGTGTCAGATGTGAATGACAACACTCCAGAGTTTTTACTGAGTCCCTATACTTTCTATGTCACTGAGAATAATGAGCCAGGAGCCTCTGTGTTTTTGGTTAAAGCTTCTGATCGAGATGAGAATGAGAATGCGCACATTTCCTATCATATTGTCAGGGATGTAAGGGAAGGTAATAAAATGGCTTCATTTCTAAACATTAACTCTGAGAATGGAGACATTGTGGCGCTAAAGAGTTTTGACTTTGAAACAGTGAAAACGTTCCAGTTCCACGTTGTGGCCACAGATTCTGGAACTCCGTCACTGAGCAGCAACGTCACAGTCAACGTGTTCATCCTGGATCAGAACGACACCCCTCCAGTCATCCTGTATCCACTCAGCTCCAACGGGTCTGCTGAAGGTGTGGAGGAGATCCCCCGCAATGTGAACGCAGGACACTTGGTGACTAAAGTCAGAGCCTATGACCCTGATATAGGATATAACGGCTGGTTGCTCTTCTCACTGCAGGAACATACTGACCACAGTCTCTTTGGTTTGGACCGCTACACAGGACAGATCAGGACACTTCGCTCATTCACTGAGACAGACGAGGCTGAGCACAAACTGGTCATACTGGTAAAAGACAATGGCAACGTGTCCCTCTCAGCAACAGCTACTGTGGTTGTCAAGCTTGTGGAGCCCAAAGAGGCTTTTGCAGCTTCTGATGTTAAAAGTGCAGCAAAAAAAGATGATGAGGACACTAATGTGACTTTTTACCTGATGATAACTTTGGGCTCAGTGTCTGTACTTTTCCTCATCAGTATCATCGTGCTGATCGCGATGCAGTGCTCCAAATCCACAGACTATACTTCTAAATATCTACAAGAGGCTAATTATGACGGGACACTGTGTCACAGCATCCAGTACAGATCTGGAGACAAACGGTACATGTTAGTTGGACCCAGGATGAGTACAGGATCTACTATAGTCCCGGGCAGCCACGCGAACACTCTAGTGCTCCCTGACAGGAGGAGGATATCTGAAGAGGTAGGACAAAGTTAAGTGCAAGCTGTATTTGCCCTGTTGCCCTCACACCCATTATCACTAAATGCTTTGAAATATTCATACTTCCTATTATTAAAGCTGCTGTGCCTGCCGACCTAGATCATTACCAATTTGCATATAGATCAGGTAGGTGAACAGAGGATGCAGCCCTTACAACACTTCCCACTGATCTATCGAATACAGAGTCAACATAAGGAAAGCTATTGGCCCTGATGGCGTACCAGGAAGGATTTTACAGGCATGTGCGGACCAGCTAGCGGAGGTATTCACCACCATATTCAATCTCTCCCTTCTGCAGGCTGTAGTTCCAACCTGCCTCAAGTCAGCTACCATAATCCCGGTGCCCAAGAAAAACACAGTGAGCTATGCAAGCTGTATTTGCCCTGTTGCCCTCACACCCATTATCACTAAATGCTTTGAAAGACTCATACTTCCTATTATTAAAGCTGCTATGCCTGACGACCTAGATCATTACCAATTTTCATATAGATCAGGTAGGTGAACAGAGGATGTAGCCATTAAAACAGTCCTTAGTCCTTTGTTATATTCTTTATTCACTTATGACTGTGCCCCTATTCACTCTACTAATACAATTGTCAAATTTGCTGATGACACTACAGTAATAGGACTGATTTCAAACAATAACGAATTGCATTACGCGGGGAGATTCAACATCTCGTGCAATGGTGTGAGGACAATAACCTGGAGTTACTTCATAGACAAAGGAAAATTGTGGCGGATTACAGGAAATCCAAATGTATTGTACACTCTCCCCTCTGTATACGAGCAACGGAGGTTCAGAGGGTAGACAGCTTTAAGTTCCTTGGTGTGCATATCTCTGCCAACCTCACTTGGAATACACATATCTCTTATCAGGTGAGACAGTCTTTGGTAAGCCTTCACTTCCTCAGAAAACTAAGGAACGCCCGCCTCCTTCAGACTCTATTGATAAACTTTTATAGATAAGCAATAGAGAGCATTCTGACCTATTGCTGCACCGCATGGTTTAGTAGCTGTATGGTTAGCGCAGCAGAAAAATCCATTGGCTCACCACTTCCCCCCACCAGTGATATTTATACAGATCGTCTCCAAAAAAAGGCCAGATACATTTCTTTGGACAATACTCATCCTGGATACGGGCTGTTTACCTTATTGACCTCTGGGAAAAGGTACAAATTGATCAAATCCAGAACTAATAGATTCAAAAATGGCTTTTATCCTCAAGCCGTGAAATCTTACACCATCAGTTTCCGCCCTTAACATATGAGTGTAATAACTTGGTTTCGTTGCATGGAGGGAGGTATCATGGATTATGGAAAGTGCAATAACTAGGTTTGGCTTGCATACTTATTGCTTATGGCTTGCATTGTTGCTATCATCTAGATATAATTATTTATTGTATAACGTTATATCAATCATCTAGATATAATTTATTGTATAACGTTATAATGTGGTTTTAACTATAACAGTTGTTAAATGCAGCTTGTCATATATGTGGATTCATCCATTTGTTATTCCGTATACTTTGAAAACCACA